GGACAAGACCTTAGTGGCAGGAAAGATAGTTGTCTTGAGTACCCAGACACTGGGTCCTTAAGGCCCCAAGTTGTACCTTTACGAGTTTACCCGGTTCTCCATGGTAGGGGTGTGGAGAAACATCCAAGGTGCCACCTGCAGCTTATATTGTGGCACTCAGCAGGATTTGATGTGCAGGTGACATGAAGCACAATGGGGGTTTTGCGGTTCAGGAACAAAGCGTCCTCGAGAGTATGTTTATAACAAAGAGAGCAGTGAAGCAAGGCAGTTTATTGTTCGGAGAGAGATAGGTAAACACGGAATATGGCGTCATGAAATCATACAGTCAGCAAACACAGTTGCTTCTGCAGACTCGGGTTGGGTGTTGCTTTAACTCCTGGTTTTCTTAGCCCGCACTAATAAACCCTCAGCTCTTTTGATCCTAAGTTGTTCTTTGGTTTTTGTTTCTCTAGACCCCAGGATCACCTTCCGATTCCTCCACACTCTCTGGCTCCTTAGACTACAGTTACTCCCCAGCTCAGCTGCCTATCTATGCTCCGGAGAATTACAGTTCTCCCCCTTCTCTGGACACCAGAAATTGTGGCTACCCCTCAGAAGACTACTCCTCCCACCTGCCCTGGCACACCCAGCACAGCTGCCTCTCCTCAGCCACCACCTCCGTCTGCTGCTGCACGTCCTGCGAGGCAGAGCACCTGGACACCCTGGGAGCCTCAGAGGACTTCCCCTGTCTGAGCCTAGACTGTGTGGACTTCGCCCCCTCGGCAGCCGCTGCCAGCGATTTCTATAAGACAGAAGCAAACTGTGACATCTGCTATAGTTAATGGAAGCCACAGCCCTTGGAACAGAGGAAGGGGGTATCTGTTTTTCACCCACATCTAGATGACAGCCCGTTAACAAATATCCCCAGCACAGTTTACATGGCACCATCCCAACGTTCTGAGGCTGACTTAGGCCTAAACACGAGGTCCTCAGTCCTGGGCACAGTGTCCCGCCTCCTCTGTATACCCATCATTAACATTTTTCTAGGAACCTTTCACTTGTTTTACTTTTCTAACGAACAAAATTCTCTCTCTCCTTTTTTTTTTTTTAACTTTAATAAATAATTTTGTATTAGAAAACATTGGATTATTTTTTTAATTTCCAAGAGTACTTTCTAATGGATTTGAATGTTATCAATGAATTCTGGAAAGCACTAATTAGTCTTCAGTGGTTTAATCTAATTTATTCATGAATTTACAATTATTTTGATTTACAGGGTGGTGAAATGCCGTGGTTCCCATGCAACGAAGGGTAGACACAGCTAGGTGGTAGAAAGGAACAAGCAGCCTCAGCTCTGAATGAGGGTGTACAGGTTAGACTAGGGGTCCTCAAACTTTTTAAACAGGGGCCAGTTCACTGTCCCTCAGACCCTTGGAGGGCCGGACTATAGTTTAAACGGACAGCCAGCGGCGGCAAAAACACCCGGTGGGCCAGATATGTGTCCTGGGCAGGCTGCATGTGGCCTATGGGCCATAGTTTGAGGACACCTAGGTTAGACCAACATTAGAAGAGAACATTCGTGAAATCATTTTTTTCTCATATATAACATTAGTCAACAACATGTTAACATCACCAGAAAGCACATCTTACCTATAGCAACATTCATGGGTAGATAATCCTTTTTCATTTCCAAAGTGTAAACTTCCAGTCTCTTGAGAGCTGCCACACAGCTGATGCAGCCCAGTTTAGAAGTCCTTGTTACATTAGATTTCTGAATTTAGGTCCTTAAATATACAGGACTTGTATTTTAATTGGTATATAGAACTGGCCATGTTATTTACAACTGAACTTCAAAGATTACTTCCTCTGATTAACCTATTTGAAGAAGCCCAACTCTCTTTTGTGTAGAGGAGTTACTTAATCTACCCATTCTAGAATGTACTATCAAATCCTGCTTGCTGAGGGCGTTAGGGCACAGGACTTAATCCCTGAAGTGAAGTCTGGTGGGGGTGGGGAGATTTTCCATATCCCAAGTTTCAGCACAGTGGCAGTAATATTGGTACCATGCCACTGGCCACTGCTACCATTTTCTGAGCCCATCCTATGGGTCCAAATTGTCCAAGGTTTTTTTCGCATGTTATTTAATCTTCATTTCAAAACTATTAAGAAATGAGTATAATTGTGACGGATGTGTTACTTAGTTCAATGTAAGCATTTCACATTGTATATCAAAGCAGAACCCTGAACCCTATAAATGCGTCAACGTACAAAGTTATGGTTTAATAAAAAATAATGTAAAAAAAAATCTTCACAGCAACATTGATGGCAAAATAAGGAGTATGAGGCTCAGAGAAGCCAAGTCAGCTGTCCGATATGCCCAGCCAGGAAGCACCCACGCTTGGGTCTGAAGGAACCAAACCCCTGCTTCTTACTCTCTAGCAGTGAAAAGTTTGAGCCGGCTCGGCGCCTATAGCTCAACCGGCTAAGGCGCCAGCCACGTACATCTAAGGTGGCGGGTTCGAATCCCCAGCCCGGACCCGCCAAACAACAATAATGGCTGCAACCAATAAATAGCCGGGCGTTGTGGCGGGCGCCTGTGGTCCCAGCTACTTGGGAGGCAGAGGCAGGAGACTCGCTTGAGCCCAGGAGTTGGAGGTTGCTATGAGCTGTAATGCCATGGCACTCTACCCAGGGGGACAGCTTTAGGCTCTGTCTCAAAAAAAAAAAAAAAAAAAAAGTTTGAGCCACCCTTTGTGACTGCCAGGAAAGTACAGAATCATTAAACCCCAACTTCCTACTACACACAAAGGCGTCAGACCTCCCCAACAGGGAGGCCCAGTCCCTGACATACACAATATCAAGCACAGCGGCTGCCAGGCTACAGGTCCTACGCTCTGGGACCCCAGGGAAGAGGCTGACAGCCACCACAGTGGGCGTCTTCCTATCAGGAGATGAATATGCTTTCAAAATTACACTGTCTGACTATCCTCTCCCTGGGGACTCAACTAATGCTTGGTTAAATAGGACAAGTTGCAGCCTGCCTCATGGGATAATTGTGCCAGGAAAATAGAACAATTGCTGCCTTCCAGAGATGCCAGTAAAACTGAATTTTTAATGGCCTGAAACTAAATTGAAACTGGCCTGTTGTCAACAAATATCTATTCACACAGACCCAAACCCCTTGATACTCTCCACCCCACCCTCAGAAGCTGTCCCCAAGGGACAGAGAGCAAGGACTACAAAGGTGGCCAGGGGTTGGCACCAGCATATCCCCTGACTGGGTGCCATCCTCCTTTCTTTTTCATTCCCCACTCAGATTCTCTGCCTTCGGAATCAATTCTTTCGCAGCTCTCACAGAGAAGCATTTTCCTACCTCCTTATTTCTTATTCTTTCTTCACAGGCCCCTAGTTTTTGCCTAAATCTACTATGGTAAAGGATTCAGAAAGGAATGTAAAAAATACATATATAGTTACTGTGCATCACTGGTGTAACTTCACCTTAAAATGGTTTTGAAGAGTTTTCCAGAAATGTGGACCAACAGGTCACCTGTTGACGTATTCCTAGGTGGATAGCTGCTGCCCACCCAGTCTCTGAGCTGTCAGCACTCACACAGAACAGCGTGGGAGCCAAAGCCGCAGGTACAGCATCACCGGCAACACTGGAACCATCTAGAATGTTTTTCATTAGTGTATACCTGGGTTGTTAGGTAAAACGCAGATTTCTTAGTATGAGAAAACAAGAGTCAGTAAGTCTGGGGAGGCGCCCAGCCAGCTGCATGTTTTAAATGTACCTAAGTCAATTCTGATAAAGATTGACTTGTTCTTACACTTGAAGAACATTGCCATGGTCAATGTCTGAATGGGTCACTGGAAGGACCTAGACGCATCATGATAATAGTTTACCAAGCGCTTTCCGTGGGCCAGTTCTGTGGACATTGTCACATTTAGTCCTCAAGAAACCACCCGAGGTGCATATTACTCGCCTCACTTTTGTAGATGGGGAAACTCAAGCTTGGAGAGATTTAATAGCTTCCCCAAGCTTATAAAATCAGGGTAAGAGTTCTCCAACTCAGCTTATCTGATGTTTCAGTCAGAACCTCCTGAGAGAATAATCTTTTTGGAATTTGATCTTTTGCCCTAAAAGTCACGTGTGAATCTGTAGCCAGTTCCTCATACCGTGAAAGCATTCAATAAAATTATTAATGGAAATTTAAGAGAAAGAATAATTTTGTTACAACCATTAGAGAGATTAATAAACCAAAATGTTAATTAAGTGCTCACTGCATGCAAGACTGATTCCGTGCCTTCAAAATGCAAAGTCAATAGTTAAAAGGGGATGTGATTCAGACATTATAAAATTGATAATTTCAGGGGAGGATGGCCAGGAACTAATTGTCAGATTATTGAGAAACTTAAATTTGGGATTAACTCTCGAAGGCTGAGAGACATAAGATGAGACAAAGCTGAAGGCAATAAACATTTGGAAAGTACCAGTCTAAGGAATGGCCAGAGCGCCGCATCTTGGCAGCTGGCCTAAGCCTGCAGGTGAACCCTGTGAGCAAGGCCGATAGATAAAAATAACTCAAGAGATGGAGGGGGCAGGCTGCCTGTTGGTAGAAAATGGTTTTAAAAGTCATTATTCGGTCTTGAAACAGAAAAGCTAAAAAGAGTTAGGATCAAAGCCAATTAAATTATGAATAAGTAGATTAAAATAAACACAAACTTACTTACCATCATTTCCAAATCCATGTATAACTAACCTCCAGTGTGACCCACTGGGGAGGCTCCCTTCCTCCTAAAGAGGACGGCATGGATGCCCTGTCTAGAAGCATCATTCCGTCAGTGGGCATCGCAGAACCTTGGGGCTACTGTGGTCAAAGGTTCATCATTCAGGAACCAGGTGTCTCTGTCCTTTAAGGGCAGAGTAATTACTGGCCTCTTTCCTTGTGCTCCTACCGGCCTCTGGGAAATGATGTCTAGGCGGGGCTAGAACATGAACAAATCTAAGACCATGCCGTTTTTGCATGGTGATAAAGTGCTAAACCTATTGAGGACATAAATCTGTGTCTCTTAGGTTATACTTTATACTCTTGCTTAAGGTGGATAGAGAATATCCTGTTGGCTCGGCTCCTATGGCTCAACCGGCTAAGGCGCCAGCCATGTACACCTAAGGTGGCGGGTTCGAATCCCCAGCCCGGACCCACCAAACAACAATGACGGCTGCAACCAAAAAATAGCCAGGCGTTGTGGCGGGCGCCTGTGGTCCCAGCTACTTGGGAGGCGGAGGC